TAATTACAATATTGTACAGTATTATGACATTTTGGTGTTATAATTATAAATACAACATAATTGTGTGGTTCGCCCAAAATTTTCTGTTTAAGCCCTCCATATTTTCCTGCAATACTATGTAGTACATTGACATTTAAGTGTTAAAAATGTAAATATATCAAAATTATGTGGTATGCCCAAAATTCTCTACTTAAGCCTTACATTTTTTCTTGTAATACTGAAGTATTGTGCAATTTAGGTGTTAGAACTATAAATATATCAAAATTGTGTGGTATGTCCAAAATTCTCCGTTTAAGCCGTCCATAATTTCTTATAGTAATATGTAGTAATGTGGTATTAAGGTGTTACAAATGTAAACAAATCAGTATAGTGTGGTATGCTTGAATTTTTCTATTTAAGCTCTCCATAGTTTTTTATAATATTATGCAGTATTATAGCATTTAAGAATTAGAAATGTAAATACATCAGAATTGTGTTATATGTATAGAAGAGCTTCTTTACTTCAATAACAACTGCAACATGGCTGCTCCATAATTGAACTAACCAAATAGACAGACTTCACCCAAAACAGCTTCCTTGCAATATTTTTATCTACAGTTGTTCAGTTGCATCTTCACATAGCCGCAGCTGCCCCCAAATAGGTCCTAATTCTTGTAGTTGATGTTATTATTCATGGAGTTCCTTAGATACCATTAAGTAAATTTCTTTGTAAATTATAAATGTCATAACAGTACATCAAACCTAAGCTCAATCTCTATTTCTAGTGGAAGATCAGACAATTTCTCAAGAAATAAATAAAGAGAATATGCAACCACTAGTATTCTTTAATTCCTTAAAAAATTCTCTGGAAGTTTGTAGGCTGTTATTATTTTGTTTTGCTTGTGATGATTTGGTACGACCAATTCTTTACTCATTTGATATTGATGAGCACACTTCAGGATGGATATCTGTGAAAATTGTCCAATTGAATTGTTTCGCTCCATCATGCCTCCTGAGCACGGGAGGTCCATTTGGGTTTGACACAACACCTATGTTAAAACTAACATCATCCAAAACAATCAGCAAATACCAACAACATTACTATAGACACAAGAATAATGCCACACAAAAATCAAATATCACAAACATATCCTTTATTACAAGATGATTAAGATCAAGCACGTTGGAACAATGGAAGTTAGGCTTCACATTCTCTACCAGCGAGGTTAATCGTCTCCTTTAAACTTCCAGCATGTGATAATCAAGAAAAATCATAACTCTAAAGACCCCTTGTTAGATTCAAAAATCATGACCCATTACCACCTTTGTGAACTTACCAAACCAGACCATTGGGGATTACTTCAGTCCATAGAGGGACTTTCGCAATCAGCACACTTGTCCTCGGGAACCAATAGAGTCAAAGTCTAGAGTGAGGCACATGTACACCTCCTCTGTGAGATCCCCATTTAGGAAAACATTTTGACATCCAATTGGAGCAAGGGCTAGTACAAATTTACAGCAAGGAAAAGTAGGACCCGAATGGTGTTTGATTTAACAGCTGGAGCAAAAATCTTTTCATAATCAACTCCGTATGTTTGTGAGTAGTCATTGGCGACTAACCGTGCCTTCTTGCATTCAAAAGATCCATCATAGTTAAAATTGAAGCTAAAAATCCAGAGGCACCCTACTGTTTTCTAATATGGAGAAAGTTTCACAACAATTCATGCATGATTCCGTTGAAGGGCATTTATTTCATCCATTACTGCAATTTTTCCTAAAGGATTAGCTAATGATGTTTCAATAGTGGATGGGAGGTGATGATCCATTGGGATGGCAGCAAAAGCTATATAGGTCGACGATACACTGTGGAAAGAGATATTTTTTCATAGAATAAATAAAGATTGTCTGATTACATACCTCAACAGAAGAACTCACCTCCTCATTTAGACTGGTGTCAATTCTAGAGAAGTCACTCAAAGCGGATTCTAGATCTTGTAAAGAGATAGTGGGCTTCAGCGTGGGATCATGAGTGAGCTGAGTATAGACACAAAGAATGAGAGAAGGTTCAGATTGTTTGGTACATGTTGGATCCAGAGAGAAAGAGGGCTCCTTGGTTAAAGTGGTTGGAGAAATATACACAGGGGTCGGATAAGTAATAGTGTCTAAGAAATAAAACTTCTACTAACTTGAGACAGTAACAGGGAAGTAGCGAACACTTTGAAAGAAGGAGACATCTGACATACAATTTATTTGTGGTAGAATCAAGAAACCGATAGTCTTTTTGAGTGACGAAATATTTGAGGAAGACACGTTTTATAAACCTGGGATCAAGTTTACTACGATTAGGGATAGTGTTTCGAACAAAGACAGTGCACCAAAAATTTTGGGTTCAAGAGTGGTGAAGACTGATTGGTAGGAAAACACGACATCAAGATGGTTGATGGAGTTTTAAAGTTATGAATTTCTTTGGGAATTCTATTGATGAGAAAGGTGGCAGTAGGCACGACATCATTCCAAAACCTTTTCGGGATATTAGATTAAAACATAATGGAGTGAGCTACTTCGAAAATGTGTCAGCTTTTCTCTCGGCTGCTCTATTTTTTTGAGGTGTGTCCGTATAAGAGTTATGATGGAGGATGTCCTTACTAAGAACTCAATTAAAATATAAATAAAAAATTCACGGTCATTGTCAATTCGAAGAACTTGAATTGACGTTTTGAATGAGTTTTTAAAAGTGATAACAGTTTAAATTTTACCTTTTAAGATATAGAACGATGTCATTTGAGTGTGGTCAACAATTAAGGTAAGGAATCAATGTTTATTAGTGTAGCTGAGAGTGCAAGAGGGTCCTCACATGTCACTATGAGTAAGAGAAAAGTGAACGGAAGGCGTGTAGGG